CACCGCCGATGTTTGAATGGGGCGGGTGATGTTGAGGGAATGGGGGTGGATGCCGCCGCCGCCGCGGGCTGCTCCGGCCAATGACCCATGGGACACACATGCACGTGCTGCCGTACACAAGCGCGACCATCGCTGCGTTACAGGACACTGGCATCATGCACTTAGGTTGCACCATATCCCCGACAGTTATGGAAAAGCTAAGCGGTACTTGTGCCTCGGTGTGAAATTCTTTTTCCCCAACCGACAACGAACTCAACCGCATCACCCAACCAACACGTCCGCACTGAACCCAACCGCAACTGAACTACTCAATCCACCCAGGCCGCACTGCGGCGCGTGGAGGATGCGGACGATGTGGCGGCGGCTGCGGAGGCGGAGAAAGAGGCGGATGCGGAGCTGGATGAGTTCACCCGGGAGCCGCCAGCGGGGGCGCCTGGCGGGGAGGCTGGCGGGGATGGCGACGATGATGACAAGGACGAGGAGGGCGGTGGCGGCGCCGGCGGCGGCAAGGGCGGGAAGGAAGCGGACAAGGACGCGGATGAGGATGGCAAGGTGCGTTGGTGGGGCCGGGATGCGGTTGGTGTGTGGGTTTGGAGGGACGAGAAGCGGGTGTGAGAGTACGAGGGAGGGGAGGGGGTGTTGGGAGGAATCCGCGGGGTAGCAGAGCCCATATGGCGGCGACATAACGTTGCTGCGTACTTCTTCGTTCTCCGTAAAACGTCTCATGGCCGTGGGGGTAGGGTTTGCGTATTCACGGACGTCGTGCAAGACATTTACGGGTGCCGTACGGATCTCTACCACTCCGCACACAGACCGGCGGTTCGTCAGCGGCGGCGTTGCTGGGCGACATCGACGCGGATATGCTCAAAGCGCTGACGGCCGGAGGCGGCGATGACGGCGGCGCGTTGGTGGCTGGAGGCGGCGCCGGCGGCGCCGGCGGAGGAGGTGCTGGCGGCGGCGCCAGCGCGGCTGACATGCTCGCCCGGCTACAGACGGGACTGCGGCCTATTGAGCGATATGCGGTATGTAAACGGCTGCGAATCGGCGCGGAGTCAGTTGTTGGTTGAATACGTGAACCCGCCATCCGATGACCGCCAGGCGCCGCCGACCCTCTCACGTCTTGTTCGCGTTCTTCGGTCCCGTCAGAAACCTCTCTTTGGCCCTCTTCGCACATCTTCACACTCACACTCACACTCTCACACTCACACTCACACACACTCACACTCACACTCACACTCACACTCACACTCACACTCACACTCACACTCACACTCACACTCACACTCACACTCACACCACACTCACACTCACACTCACACTCACACTCACACTCACACTCACACTTACACTCACACTCACACTCACACTCACACTCACACTCACACTCTCACACTCACACTCACACTCACACACACACACTCACACATATACCCTCCAGGTCCGGTTGCTCGAGGACCTCAACCCCGTGGATATCGAGGCGGCCGCCAGCCAGGCCATTGAGGGGCTGAAGGACGAGGACTGGGAGCTGGACGCCATGCAGAAGCGGCAGGCGGAGGCGGACGAGGAGGCGGAGGCCAGTGACGAGGAAAAGCTGGTGCGTGGTGCTTGCGGTGGCGTGGAAGAGCTATGAGGGGTGTAGTGGTGTGTGAAGAGGTGGTGTGTGAAGAGGTGGTGTGTGAAGAGGTGGTGTGTGAAGAGGTGGTGTGTGAAGAGGTGGTGTGTGAAGAGGTGGTGTGTGAAGAGGTGGTGTGTGAAGAGGTGGTGTGTGAAGAGGTGGTGCGGTGCTCGCGGTGGGTTACGACCTCCTATCCTGCCCTCCTCCTGTCTCCCCCATCTCGCGGTTCCGGTGGGGGGGAAGGAGGCGGAGAGGACTCGTGATTCGTGTGGTACGTGGCTCGGTTTGCTGTCAGCCTCGCCTTTGCTCCCTTCCTCCCCCAAATACCACCATTACCACAGCAACGGAATACAATACACTAGACACATGACCAGCAACACTATCACCACCAAGACGACCCCGCCTGGGTTTCCCATTTCCTTTCCTTAACCACCATAACCGCAACCACCGCAACCGCAACCGCCACAACTAGAATTGTCACAACCGCAACCACCTAACCACCATCAGAATCACTGACTACGACCCCGTCGTCCTTCGCCCTTTGCAACACCCCGCAGGTGGAGGATTGGGATCGGGAGGCGGCGGATGAGGCATACCGCGAGTATGCCGTACTGGTGGAGGAGCATCTCAAGGTGCGGTGGGGTCGGGTGGGGTGGAAATGCGACACACACACACACACATACACAAACACACACACACACGAAAAGAAGCACGCACATGCACTATTCCTTACCACCATAGCTATAAACCTTGCATGACTTCAGGAAGCGGAGGCGGCCGAGGCGGCGGCGCAGGCCGCTTACGAAGCGGAGATGGCCCGGCGGGCGGCGCTGGCGGCGGAGAACGGCGGCGTGCTGCCCCCGGGGGAGGGAGGTCCTCTGCCCGGGGTTATGGGGGCTGCGGGGCCGGTCGGCGCGGCGGCAACTCCCGGTGGCGGCGGCGCGGGTGCGGTGGCCCCCGACGGCGGGCTGCTGTCAACCGGAAAGCCGCCTCCGAAGCGGGTGCGTTGGGGGTGCTTGGCGCGGACGGGTGACCTCCGTGTTGCGACTGCGTGACGTATATATCGTCATATATCGTCATATGTCGTCATATATCGTCATATATCGTCATATACGTATCTTCCCTGTGGGGGTGCATCGCTGGGTTCGTGGCTGGCTGTCAGCAGCGCACCACCGCGGTATGGCAGCGCCGCCCGTTCCTTGGACATCCCTGCCCTACGCATCTCCTCGTCTTCCTCTCCTCTCCGTTCCGCTTCTCCTCTCCCCAGCCGCTCCTTTCCTTTCCTTCCCTTTCTAGCCGCTCAACATCGCACATCGCACCCACCCAATCCTGCGACCTGCCAACCCACACACCCGGCCCATCGTGTGCAGCGCGGCCGGCCTCCAAAGCACCTCCAACAACAACATCAACAACAACATCAGCAAGAGAAGGAAAAAGACAAGGAGAAGGAGCGGGAGCGGGAGAGGGAGAGGGAAACCGCTTCGGCGTCGTACCAGGCGGCCGCCTTGTACGGTGCCGCTGGCGTCGGCCTACGCAAGCGTCGCGCTTCGGTGCCGGTGGGCGGTTATGCAGAGGATTCGGATGAGGACTTCCTCGACGAGGACGACGGCGCGGCCGCTGCTGCCGCGGCGGCGGCGGCGGCGTCTAAGCGGCCCAAATCCACGCCGCTGCCCATGACGGCCTTCCCTGTGGGCGGCGGCTTCGCCGCCGCCGACCACGCTGCCGCCGCCGGTGGTGGACTCGGCAGCGGTATCCCCGCTGCTGCCACCGCCGTGCGCGCCAATGGGCTGCCGGCCGCTAGTACGGCAGCCGGTGGCGGCGCGGCAGCCGCCGCGACTGCGGCAGCCGGCCGTGGCGGCAGCAGCTGGGTGGGGCCAGCGGACCCAGCGGCGGCGACGTCGCCTCCGCCGCTGTGGAGTCCGGCGTGGGACCCGGCGCTGTGCAGCGCAGTTGCGACGGTGATTGACCGCTCTCGTCAGCCGCCGACGGTGACGCCACTGAGCGGCATTCCTTGGCCAGCCGTGTACGAAGGCGTCCTGGCGGCCGTCCGCACCGCCGCCGGCGCCAGCGCGCCGCTCACGCCAGGCGCCGTCACTCCGGAGCGCTGCCGCCAGCGTTTCGCGCATCTGCTGGCGGCCTTCAGGCCGCACCTGGCGGCGGCGGGGGTGACGCCACCGCCGGCTGCCGCCGCTGGCGGCTTGAGCAGCAACAGCAGCATGGCGCTGGTCGGCAGTCTAAGGGAGCAGCTGTATACGGTGGTAGACGGCCTGAGCAAGGAGGCCCTTCAGACGCTCAACAGCTCGGTGACATCCATGCTTCGGCCCCAGCACCTGCTGTTCGGGCAACCGGCGGCCAACGGGTTGGTGTCAATGCTGCAGGTGTGTGGGTGTATGTGAGTTTTGAGGGGGGGGGAGGGTTACCTTGGTCTGCCCTGTGTGATTACCTGTGTTCTACGTGTCCTAGGCAAATCCGAAATACCAGGAGAGAAGACACAGGTGGTCGTATATGTACGCGTGTAGGTGTAGGTGTAGGTGTAGGTGTAGGTGTAGGTGTAGGTGTATCTGGGACGAGCGCGAGTCAAAAGATCGGTTCCAGCCACCACTGCCGCCTCTGCCCACTTCTGGCCACTGTGATATCCCGTTGTCGTTTCATTTTGTTTCACTTTTCCCCTTTTGGCACTCTCTCCCTCTCCCTCTCCCTCTCTCTTCTGTCGCAGCAAATCCTCCGCGGCCGTGGCACCGCGCGCTCCGGTCCCCCGGCGGTGGACCTCCTGATCAACCCCAGCGATGTCGATGCGCTGTTCGGAGTCGTCAGCCATTACCTCACCGCGTAAGTAATTTAAGGGACGTCGGGAGAAATCGAGAAAAAATGACTAGTAGTA